TCAGGGACTGCCGTCCCGCGCAGGGCTGTCATCACAGCCTGCTCCCTGAGAAGGCGATGCCAGGGATGGCGTTCTGACAGTTAGGATGAAAAATATTTTAAAGCTGCGATTACCAGTTAGCATGCAAGAGACACAGGGCTTGCCTCCATGCTTTACACACAACCCATACCTCAGCTGGCTCATTCCCATTAGATAAAATATCAAGCAGGTCTGCAGAGGAAACAAAGTAGAATCTGGGAAAAGCCAGTCTTTTTGTCTCGAGGTATTCAGCCAAAGCCTTCTCACAGAGCGCCAGTCTAACAGAAAACAAGAAAAAGCCCTGCAGTTACCCCCCCTCACATATTAGTTTTTACTCTTTGCTAAGCCCTTGTCATGTTGAGGCAGGGGCCACTCCGGAGAAATCAAACTCCTCCTTCGGCCCTAGAGCAGCCCGTGAAAGCCTCTCCTTAACGCTTCACCAGGAGGACTCAAACCTCACCTTTTCTGCAATGCTTCCAGCTTGTCGTAGAGACCAGGCTTGTTCGTAGCTTCAATCACATTGGGGGTTTTTACCGCATCGGCCATTAATTCCTGCAGGAGGAAAAATGTTTCAGCTCTACCCAAAGCAGCAGCGAGCGCTCAGGGGCCCGGGGGGACGGGCTTCGCACTTTGAAATCTTCATCGATAGCATCAAAATGCTTCGAGTCCACCGGCAGTTGACTGCGGATGTCTTCGGAGCCAATGAAGATGCTCTCCAGGTGACTCCATGTCCTCTGCACCTCGAACCAGATGCTGATAACGGAGTCAGCGGTTGACAGCTTCTGCTGCCAGCCCGACACCTCCTGAAGGAAGAAGGCTAGGTGCTTGGAGGTCATCAGGTTCTGCAGCTGCACTTGGTTGTCCTCCAGTGTCTCAATGAGCACCTCATCCGACTTGAGCAGCATGATGCCGGTCCTGGTGTGGCGCTCGTGCTCGAACCGCATCGTTGCCCAGGTAGTGTCCAGGGTGTTCAGCACCTGCAGATGGGGTGTGAGAAATGAGATGGACTCTGCGGTGCCGAGGCCCAGACCCCACGGAAAGGCAAGACACAACAGGAACACCTTCTCCGGGGCACGAGCTGCACGGGTGCCACGTTCTGTGTGGACTCCAGCCCCCAGGAGCAGGAACACGAGTGCTAACAGCCACAGAGCCACATCAGAGCAGGGCACTCAGCAAAGCAGGGTAGGAACCGAGCCCCGTTTACCTTCTCCGTCCCTGACTCTTTCATGGCTTTGTCCACGATGCCACGAACCTCATCCTCGAACATGTGCAGGTTCAGCTGCAGCAGATCTGAGAGGGTTGTGTCCTTGGACATGGTGAAGTTCACCTGCAGCAGAACCAGCACTGTCAGGACATGGACTCCACTCACCGAAGAGGTAGCCCAGCAACTCACTCAAATGAGCTCATTAACACCCACATTTAAAGACTCTACATGAATATTTTATATATGGCCAGTTTTTAAAACAGATTGCATGCTTCCCCTGACGGATGCAAATCTCAGGAGCCACCGGGGCCAGGGGTTGGAGCCAGGGAAGGGTGGGAAGGCTGGGAGCACCTTGGTTGCCTGCATGAGCTCCTGCCAGTGCCGGTCCCTGATGGCCGGGTTCTGCAGGTCGTTCACGGCACGCAGGGACGTTATCATGTTCTTCACACTATTGTCCAGTCCCGTGTATGCATCCCAGCTTCTCATCTCCTTATCCAAGTTCCGAATGTCTTTAGCAAATTTCTTACAATCGATATCCATCTGCTCAACATTGATGTCCTTCCACCTGGTGGTCTTCCAGTCATCAATGTTTGTGTTAACCTGAATTTGGGAATCC